TTTTTACTTTGTTTTGATTTTACAGCAGAGAGATTTGGACCGCCTCTGCCTATGCCTATTTTCCACGTTGTTGAAGATACCGTGACTCTATCTAGTGTCAGAGATGAACAACTCGCAGTGTTATTTAAGCGACGTGGTGCATTACATATGGAGATATGGATTACGTATGAGATTGGGCCCAGAGAGGTGTCGTGGAGGAGCAAGTTGTTCTTAGCGGTGAATATAAAACCATTTACTTGTTATCGATACCCACGTGAACATGGGAGTTTCTTTGTTGACGAGGAGAAGAAAGTCGCCGTGGTTTTTGGAAGAGACTTGAATGAACCTGACCACATTAGCGACGCAGCTTATATCACTGGAAAAGATGGATACTTGAAGAAAGTGGATCTTGGAGAATCTACATTCAAACTTGATTCCCCATATATTTGCTCTTCTTATGTTCCAAGCTTAGTTTAAATGCTTTACATATGTGCCAAAAGATTCAAGCTCATCAAGGAGGTATTTGGACGATGTCCTTAACTCTTTAGAAATGCGTTTGCACACATCATCGAGCTGAACAATTTGCGAATTATGTAATGTAAGACATAATTTAAACTTGTAATTTTATCAAACAAAATTCTCTGATCCACACTAGTTTTCGTAATTTTGAAGTATTTTTAGATAAATTCCATGTTCAATAACATTAACTTGTATTTTATTCAAGCTAAATCTTACATTAATGATGCTAATTAAGAAGCCCACTATTGGCCCAACAGCTTTCTATGTCTTCTTCTACTGCCAAACTATTCATCATATATAAAAGGAGACGAGTTTTCGAAGCTTGACCTAACTTGGAAAAGACGACAGATTCAATCAACAATGGGGATGTCGGATCTTACACAAGATTTGGTAGAGGAGGTGGTCATGAGAGTTCCGTTAACATCTCTAAGAGCAGTGCGATCTACTTGCAAAAACTGGAACACTTTATCCAATAATCAGAGCTTTACAAAAAAGCACCTTGCTAAAGCAAAAGCAAAAGCAGCAACGAAGCAGGAGTTTCCGGCTATCATGATATTAGATTTTAAGGTTTATCTAATGAGCTTTGATCTCCGTGGAATTCACAAGGACGTCGACGGCAATTACGTTGAATCATCCATAAAGCGAGAAGGTAAGCTGATTAGCCTAAACGACGTAGATGGAGTCAAAATATCTAGAGTCTTCCATTGTAGCGGTTTATTGTTATGCATCACCAAAGGATATAATTCGAGGCTTGTGGTTTGGAACCCTTGTTGTGGACAAACAAGGTGTGTTCAACCTATAGGTTCTTACCACGAAAAGGAAAACTATGCTTTCGGATACGAGATGAAGAACCAATCACGTCCAAGCTACAAAATTTTGAGATTTTTGGATACTCAAGACACGATAGTAAATAATAAACTATTTGATGGTTTTGAGATCTACAATCTTGACTCTGACTCATGGAAGTCTTTTAACACTACTCTCGGCTGGAATATACCTTATTATCAACGTGGCGTGTCTCTCAAGGGAAATACTTACTGGTTTGGTAAAAGCAAATGTTCGGGAGGAGGTTGTTGTTTAATTTCTTTTGATTTTACAACTGAGAGATTTGTACCCGGTCTGCAGATACCTATTTCCCGTGTTGCTGAAGATACCGTCACTCTATCTAGTGTTAGAGATGAGCAACTTGCAGTGTTATTTCAGCGACGTGATTCATTACATATGGAGATATGGATTACGACTGAGATTGAGCCCAAAGAGGTGTGGTGGGGGAGCAAGTTGTTCTTAACGGTGAATATAAAACCACTTACTTGTTATCAATTCCCATTTGAACGTGGGAGTTTCTTTGTTGACGAGGAGAAGAAAGTCGCGGTGATTTTTGGTAGAGACATGGATGAACCTGACTACATTCGCTACGCAGCTTATATCACTGGAAAAGATGGATACTTGAAAAAGGTAGATCTTGGAGAATCTAAATTCGAACTTGGTTCCCCACTTATGTGCTCTTCTTATGCTCCAAGTTTAATTTAAATCAAGAGCGAGGCAACCATATTTGATTAATTAGTCCATTAGCAAAATCCTAATCTATGTTTTTACATACTGTTTTTTTTTTTGTCATCTTTGATCATTAATTTGTATGTCAGACCATTATTATCACTTATTATATTCACTTAGCTGGTTTCTCAACACCGTCTCTGCTTTATTGATTTATTCAGTTTGTTCATCCTTACATTTTCAATGGATAGTGAATGAAAGTACTGTATGTGATCTCTCGTTACGTTGGCTCTTCCAGCACTTCATTGAAACAGCCGAATGCATCTTAGACACTGTATTATCCATGATGCAATTGTTGTTCTCTTTGCACATGAAAAACAAGAAAAATGACTTCATACCATGTTTCTGTAACACATGAGCTTGAAAGAAAAGGAAAGAGAGGCTTACCAGTTACCAGAACTTGATATGTCCACTCTCTTTAAATCAACATACCTTATGGTCAAATGTGTCAGAAAACCCTACATCAGAGGAAAAGATTTGTCAAAAAAAAGTCCACTATTAGAATTTTAATGTTGTTTTCCTCTGAATCATCTAAAGATGTTTTTTAGAACACTAGGAAACACCAATTTTGAAGTTAGTATGTTTCGGAAACGTCCCCATATCCAAATCCTTCCGTCCCCATAACTACTTATCCCGCCTTGCTCAAAACGTCTTGGGGACGTTTCAGAGCTGTCCCCATGCTGTCCCAGTTTCCCAAACGGCTACCAAATTGAAGTACCCGTGCTTCCTAACTGCCAATCAAGCAAGCTGAACCATAAGGCAACCATATTGATTAGTCCATTAATCTATATATGTTTTTTTTTATAGATTTAATATTGGGTTACAGATTTATCTCCTTCTTTGATTACAATGATTTTCTTATTCTTTGTAAGAGGTTTTAGAGGAAAGAGTTATTTCATCAAAATAAAATCTGGACTCTTTTTAGTTTTTCTTTTTAAAAATCTTAAGAAAGAGAACAAATTTAAGAGAAAATTTAGTTTTTAAAACTAAATTGTTAAAAATATGACTATTAAAAAATGAAATTAATTTGCAAATGGACATGTCAGATTATTTAAATTAATTTGTCCCTTTATTTCTTCTTCAAAAAGCAATTCAAGATCTTCTAATTGATGAATTTAATGAGAAGATTTCAAACATACTAAAGTCTATATCTTAACTAAGAAATTATAAATTAAAGTTTTCTTGCTTGATTTTTGTATGACATATTCAACAATGGCTATGTCTGATCTTCCTAGGGATTTGGTAGAAGAGGTGCTCTCTAGGCTTCCGGTGACATCTACGAGAGCAGTGCGATCTACTTGCAAAAAATGGAACATTATATCCAAAGATGTGAGCTTTACAAAGAAGCACGTTGCTCAAGCAAACACAGCAGCAAGGGAAAGTGAGTTTCAGGTGGTAATGCTGATGGAAAATAAAGTTTATTTAATGAGCGTCAATCTCCATGGCATTGAAAACAATGTTGATCCATCTATAGAGGTTAAGGGTAAACTTATTAGCCTAAACATAGCTGATCAAATCGGTATATATCAAGTTTATCACTGTGATGGTTTGTTGTTATGTATCACCAATGAAGGAAACTCTAGGCTTGTGGTTTGGAACCCTTATTGTGGGCAAACAAGGTGGATCGAACCTAGAAATTCTTACCACAGATTTGACAACTACGCTTTGGGATACGAGAAGAAGAACAAGTCGTGTCTTCGATACAAAATCTTGAGAATTCTGGTGACATCATTATTCAAACTTCACCCAGTTTATGAGATTGAAATTTACAACTTTAACTCTGATTCATGGAAGGTTGTTGATTTCACTCCTGACGGGAATAGGCCCTTTTTTGTACATGGCGTGTCTCTCAAGGGAAATACTTACTGGTTTGCTAGAGAGTATGTGAGGTATGAAGGTGTACAAGAAGAAATGAATTACGTGGCTAGTTTCTTGATTTGTTTTGATTTTACAACAGAGAGATTTGGACCGCGACTTCCTCTGCCTTTTGACATTTCTATAATCGATAATGTGAGTCTCTCGAGTGTTAGAGAAGAGCAGCTTGTGGTGTTACATCACCAATGTATGATATTTAGGATGGAAATATGGGTTAGTAATAAGATTGAGCCCAATGCGGTGTCGTGGAGAAAGTTGTTAGAGGTTAATATGAGACCATTCCCTCGTTATCAGTTTCGTCTTGACCATGGAAGTTTCTTCATTGACGAGAAGAATAAGGTCGTTGTGGTTTTGGATAAAGACAAAGAGACGAAAACCCGCAACTTAGCTTATTTCATTGGAGAGGATGGATATTTCAAAGAAGTGGAACTGGGAGAATCTAGAGACAAAAATGGTTATCCATTTGTGTGCTCTTATGTTCCAAGTTCAGTGCAAGTTAGCAACTTGCAGAGGAGGCAACCATATTTGATTAATTAGTCATCCTTTTACAATGCCTAATCTATGTGTTTAATTTACTCTATTCTTTTGTCATCTTTTATTATTACTGCTCTATATACATGTCGACCATTGACCATTGTTATCAGTTATTTGGTTTTGGTATTTATCAACAGACATGAAAATGCTTAGATACCAAGATACCACTAGCTAAAACTGACATATCTCTGTGTACCACCAATATGTCTCTCGCTTGGAAAATTAAGTAGAAAATATTGTTGTTAATCAAAGAAAGTGTAACGCAGGTCACTGTGATGGTCTTTGACTATTGAGTGCAAATAGAGATTCTTCATCAGAATGGATTTTGGCTTTGCCAATAACCACCAAATGAATGGTTGAAGTGTAATTATGATGCAAGCTTCACAAGAATCAACAACATTATGAAATTAACTAATGAAATTTCCACAAGTTAAACCGGAAAAAAACAGACCGGACCAATCCAGTTGTGGCAATGGCAAAGCAGTAATTTTAAAGAATAAGAGCCTTATTTTGGTACTTTTGTCCAAATTCTGCCAAACAAAACTGTATCGCCGTCTATCTTCTTCCTCAAAACCCTAGAAACTGTAAAACCCTTCACTATCTCTTAACACACACCAATTGCAGTTCAACTTTAGTTTTGTCTTCCCAACAATGTCTTCCAAAGGTCTGAAATCGCAGAAATCGACCAAGAGGAAGGTTACCGAAAGCTCTGACAAATTCGATTCTCTAAAATCAAAGAAGCCAAAGCTGGTGTCTGGAGAACAACAACAACAACATGGGAAACCTAAATTTGTTAAACCCAAATCTGCTGGAGACAAGGAGCAGAGTACTAATCTATCGAAGAAGGAGCGTCGTGTACAGGCTAAGGTAAAACATTTTTGGATTTGGAATCTATATATGTCTGATGAATTATAATTTGGTTCTGATTCTTAATATGTTTTGATTTGGGTTGCAGGAGCTAACAGAAGCTAGGAAGAAGAAGAGGAAGCCACATTACAATCTTGAGCAAGTATGTAGCTTGGTGAATCCAAATTTTCTGGCTTTAGTTTTTTTCCTACTTGTTGTAACAGAAGATTGATAACTCTTATCAGGAGCTTGCATCTCTATGGGAGAAGATGAGGCGTCGTGATATTGGCAAGGAGGACCGATCAAAGTTAGTATACAATATAGAATGCTTCTTTGATATAAAACGTTATATCTTGTATTTGTTTGATTAAACTTGGTTTTAATATTATTTGTTAGGCTGATTTCTGAAGCTATAAGGAAGATGAAGGGGAAGGTTCCAGAGATTGCAGTCTCGCATGTTTCATCTCGTGTACTTCAGGTGTGTTTTTGCATCTTTGAGTTTTGTTAAAAAAGGCTGTCAAATTTCTAAGAACATTTATAATTGGTCTGTTGTTTTCTTCTTTTACGCAGACTTGTGTGAAGTTTTGCTCACAAGCTGAAAAAGATGCTCTCTTTGCCGAACTCCAGCCACAGTTTCTTAACCTTGCTTCTAATAAATATGCTGTTCATTTTATACAGAAGATGTTGGATGGAGGTAAGCTCTAACTTCAAGTTGATTATACAGGTAGTCTATGCTAACTGCTAATTTGAGTGATTTATTTGTGCAGCGTCTAAGCAGCAGCTGGCAGCTTGTATATCCAGCCTCCGGGGACATGTTGCTCCTCTTCTCCGTCACGTCTTCGGATCTGTTGGTATGTAACCCAGTGATGTTTCAACATATATAGCATTTTTTGTTTCTTTTGAAGCTCACTTTCTCTTTGTTTTTTTTATCTTCCTCGAGTTGTGGAGCATGCATACCATCTGGGAACTGCAGCACAAAAACAAGAACTCCTTGCAGAATTGTATTCTACAGAGCTTCAGTTATTCAAGGGCTTGACCTCAGCTACCGAAAAAACGTAAATTTCACTTATCTTCCTTGTCTTACTCTAGCGCATAAGAAACAGAGAAGCCAGGTCTCTTGTATTTTTTTTTTCTTGATATCTTGAGAGCTAGGAATCCATTATCATTGTTGTTATTTGCGATGGTGATTACAAACTCGATATTACTCTTTACTGTCATGAGTGGAACATATATCAAGAGTTACTGAATGTGATTCAGGGTGGTAGACATCATCGCTAAGCTAGGACTGCAAAAAGGTGCTGTTAACCGACACATGACTGCCATTATTCAACCGATTCTTGAGAAGGGAATTGTCGACCACACTATCACACACAAATTGCTGATTGAATACCTGACAATAGCTGATAAGGTATATATATTTTGTTAATTTATGTGAGTGTTTGGGATTACAAACTTGTTTCGCTTTACACTCTTCTTGTTTTATACTAAATGGATTTTTTTTTGGTAGACTTCTGCTGCAGATGTGCTTCAGCTACTGACAGGCTCCCTTCTTTTGCGTATGGTTCATACCCGTGATGGTTCTAGGCTTGCCATGCTTTCTATCAAACATGGAAGCGCCAAGGTACACTTCTTGAATTTTTTAAGTACAAGGGATTACCCCTCAGATTGTGGGTGGTTTCATTTGTATATCTCATAAGGTTTTTCCGGACCAGTTTTGATATCTCATGATGTCTTTTCTTTCAAAAGTACTTTGAGCCTAAGTTCTTCCCCTTCTAATGGTTGTATATGTAAATCGTGATTTAAATGTAAATATCAAAACAATCTCGTAAACAGATTTCCTAGTTGACATCTATTTTTGACGTCTAGTGCAAAGGACTGATGGTAGAGATTTCCATAGAAAACTTATAAGTTGAGCTCTTTCTAAATCATATTTTTTGCAGGAGAGAAAGAAGATTATCAAAGCAATGAAAGAGCATGTTAAAAAGATGGCTTTTGATCAGTTTGGAAGTATGGTAAGGAGGCATTTTATTATTTGCTTTTGGATTTACCACTTATAGTAGTACTTCACTTTTGGTTTATATTCGTCTTTCAGATATTAACCCCTTGTCTACCATGTGTTCTCAGGTGCTTGCATGTATTTTTTCAATAGTTGATGACACAAAGCTCGTGACCAAGGTAGTTTCACTGAGCCAAATAGAAGATTGTTGGAATTATATGCTTATGTTCTGATCCTTCTGAATCTTGTTCAACCATACACAGATAATTGTTCGTGAGCTTGAGGCCAGCCTAAAGGATCTTGTTATGGACAAGGTTTGTGTTCCTTATATATGAAATTATTCTGAGATGAAAATTTACCTTATCTTTTCTTGGATCTGATGACATCTAACCTTTTGTTGGTTCCATTTTGTACAGAATTTTGTTCCTTTGTTTTTAGGCCATTATATAATTAATATGTTGACCTCTTCAAGTAATTTAGTTTCTTCCTTAACGTTTGCTTCAAAATTGTGTCTTCAGAATGGTAGGAGACCTCTATTGCAGCTACTGCATCCAAATTCTTCACGTTATTTGAGCCATGATGATTTGGCCGCTCTTGATCTTTCTGTTCCATCACTCTGCTCAATGGTATGATGATAGATATCCCCAACTATCTTGTTAATTAAAATGCTAGAATTATTCATTCTTATGGATTTCTACTGGATATAAAACCTGTCAATCTTTTCCATTCAATTTCAGGATAAGTCAGAGACATCCTCTAAAACAAAGGACACAGATGGTAACGAATCTGGTGAGGAGACGAAGGATGAACAAGAAGATACATTAGCTGAACATACAGATCATGAAGAAAACGTCACAGCTATGGGCGGTAAAAAAGATCCCCTTGTGAGAAGACAGGAGTTGCTCGTCAACAGTGGCCTTGCTGAGGTGTGTGTGACGTGGTGACTCAGTTTTCAGTTTCTTGATTGTTTTCTGATACAATGTTGCATCTTTTAGTTGTATTAACTCTCATGGATCATTCTTGATTTTCTGGACAGAGGCTTATTGATGTGTGCGTGGAGAACGCCGAGGAATTCCTCAAGTCAAACTTTGGCAAAGAGGTCATGTATGAGGTAAATTTGTTTTCTCACATCTTTTGTTGGTTTTAGTCCTGTTATAAAAACGTTAGGGGATAAACAAATTCTTAAGGTATATGATATCTGGGAAAAAAACAGATTTCTGTAACCATTTAATTTGTAGAAACCCATTTTCCACATGACATTTGTTAGGGTAGATACTTCTATACTCTTATCTACCTTTCATAACAGATGCTACTTTCATTCAATCTCTCCCTCGGATGAATCATATATTTTGATAACTAATGCTAATTTCCAGTTTTCTTTTCTTCTGTGTTGTCATGATCCTCTTCCTCTCAGCTAATCTCTAGTTTCGTCATTATGACGTTTGTTTTGTATTAGGTTGCAATCGGAGGCTCTGATGGTATTCTTTGCCCATCTCTGAGCGAGAAGCTGTGTGAGCTGTACGAAGCTATTAGCTCTGTAGCAGCAAAACCGAAACCCCAAGAATCTGAGAAGGATTCAGAGCACATCCTGGAAAACTTTCACTCAAGTCGGACCATAAGAAGGCTTGTCTTGGATTGCCCTGGTTTCGCGTCGACTCTCTTTAAGAAGGCCTTGTCTGGAAAATGTCGGTCGTGGGCTCAAGGACACTGGTTAGTTAGTCTAATGACTCCTCTCATACGTCCATTTATCTGCAAACAAGCAGTTTTTTGTTAGTTAAGTCGAAATCTTGTTCTGTGTTAAATCTCTTTTTTTTGGCAGTTCAAAGATACTATCTGCTTTCCTAGAGACTGAAGATTTTGAAGTTCGTGAGATGGCTAAAACAGAGCTTCAGGTGTTGGTGAATGAAGGTACTCTGAAAATCTCAGCAACCAAGAAACCTGAATGATGCAGCGGCCAGTGAATCACTTGGCTGTTGTTGTGTTCAGTTTTTTTCTTTCAAGACAGGTTATGTTTCAGAACTGCGAATCTGACTATGGCAAATTTTGTCCTTGTGTCACTTTATAATTTTGATCTGGCCCAAGAGCCCAAAAATCCTCTCTTGTTGACAAAACTGAAAACTAACCCTTGCCACAAAATTCATCAATCTTGGATATTATAAATGAAATAGTTTTGTTATATTTATCAATATTAGAAAGACTTGAGTATTTGGACTGGATTCAGTAAGGAGTACTATATAGTTTAGCTTTTAGTATCGCCTCTGGTAACTGTAATCCTAGGCACGACATTGGTTACTATATCCGAAACCACCATCAAAATCAAGGTCCAACTCTCCCACCAAATTATGATCAATATATGAACCAGTTACATACCAAATTTACAAAAACATGATGAAACTCTTTACTTATTCTATGTAAAAATGTGTATATCACATTTTTGTTGTTCATTGACGCTCAAAATACATTGATAAATGTATATGTAATAGAGAGGCTAAAGAAGAGTTAAACTAAGATGGACGAAAGAAGAGACATAGAACAGAAATATCATCCATGGCAATGCTTCTTCTCTTCCTACGCCAAAGCGTCACAGCTCTCTCTACCAATCTCTTTGCGCTCTTTCTTCTCTCTTTAACTCCTCTTACTATCTCCACTGCCTCATTGTTCGTCATCACATCCCACATCTACATACATTATTACACAATTATATGATTTATCAATCTTGATTTTGATTCAAATGTTGAGTAAGTTGATATATTATTACCCCATCGGTGGCCAAGATGAGAAACTGGTCTTTCTCGGTTATCTTTCGGTATGTTACTTCCGGTTCAGAGACTAAACCGAAGTCTTTAAGGCAGTAATCTCCGAATGCTCTTGAAACAGCTAAACCGAGTGATCCTCCATTCGGCATACCCACCCGGTACACTCCCGGTTCATCGTCTAGGCAGAACAATCGTCCATCCGACTGTTTTATCCGTTCTGCTTCCTCTGTTTAACCGGAAATGATCACATACCAATTGTTAATTCCTTATTTCTTCTGATTAAAATTAATCGTAGAAAGGTTTCTAGAACTCTACCTGGAATGTTCGGTTTAAAGTCTACCGAGAGCTGAACCGGCACTAAACCATTTCCATCATCAGAAGTTGTTGCTATTATTGCTCGTGAGTCACCCGCATTTGCTATAACAAGATGATCACCCTTAAAAAAAACAAAATCAAACTTCAACGTTTAGCATCTTTTAAATGAAACATTAGATACTCACAAAATACTATATATACATCATAAATGAATAGTTTTTATATTGTTACAAGTCAAGAACATATGTATTAAGGTTTTACTATAATGAACATATGTATGTTACCTGCAAAACAGCGGTAAGAGCGGTGCAGCCGCTACAGTAAGAATCAATGGAAGGACTGATCTTGAGATCAAGATCGATGACGGAGAATGTTTTTAGGCAAGCTTGCTTCCAAAGATCAAACGGAGAGGAACATTCCGGCGACGACGATAAGGAGGCAAGAGTTTGTTGCCACTGGCAAAGCAGAGAAGCTGGGAATGACTTTTTTACCCTTTTAGCTATCACATGTCCCCATGGTCCATGTCCATCAAACATCCCACAAAATGTTATGTCATCTTGGCACCCAAATCCCTATATAAATGCATATATCAAGTTTTAATTTCTTAAAAGTCATATACACAATTTAGTAACTACATGTCATGACTCATGATCAATTTCTAACATATAACTTCGACACTAATTTATAGATATCATAACTATATAATCCGTTTCATGGAAAGAAGAATTACCTAACATATAGTATTTATATAAAGTGTACCTCCCAAACAATTGCACGATCTTGGTTGATTCCTTTCTCACCTCTATTAGAACAAATAGAGGTAAATCTCTTAGAACTCTCGGAGCTAACAAAGCCCGAAGTACCGATCAAAGTCGAGTTCTTCTTCGAATCTTTAATCATCGATTTTGCGATCTCTCTCCCTCCATCTTCATCTTCCGATAGATTTTTACCTTTCTTCGTCGACACGGTTCTCGCAAATCCGTCCAAAAACGCTGGTAAAAGCACCATTAATTCTTTGTTGCTCTTATGATCCTACAATGATAAATATACGAACTTCATTTATAAGTTACAATTGTTCCGACTGATAGCAAAGGTTAAGATAATTTAGGTATATATACACATACACTCATAATAATAATCTTGCTGAAGAGGAACAAGAACAAAAGAAAAATAAAAGCAGAACAAAAGAATAAAGAGAATCAGAAGTTTACTAGGAATTTGGTTATCAAAAAAAAGTTTACTAGGAATTTACCTTCTCTTCTATGATCTGGTCTGGTGAATATTCTTGATCGAGTTTCTCTGTTGAATATATTTCCTTTTGGTGGATTTACTACTTATAAGCTGGTGAGTCGTCTCTATGACTCATCATCATCTTTCGCTTTTTCTCCTTCGACTATTCTAAACCTTTTATTTTAATACATATACACATATACATTCTTTTTGCATGTCGATAAGGACACGTATATGTTATGAATAAAGTTGACGACAATTTTTATTTAAATTAGTTATAGTTGAATGTTATAACAAATGGGTTTATATATTTTGGTAGTTTACAGAAAATGTATACGTATTTCCCATTGATAAAGTAAGAGTCAATTAAATAGGCAACATAACCTTGAAGATGCAGATTAAAACGTGTGTATGTGTCAATGTGTGTGGGTATGATTATGAATTTTTTGGGGAAAATGGGTATTACGGGAGTGTTTGGCGAGTGAAAATGTTAATTTCAACGCAATCACATCAAACGCAAGAAAATGAAGAATTATTATGTTTGGGGTCAAATAACACAAACAAACAAAAAAGCGTTACAACAACCACAGTGAATAACCAATCAAAGTTTTATTTTTCTTGTCACGATATATAATAAAGCTTAATTAGACCGACAAATGAATAATTTATAGCTAGTTAATACCTCATTAGGATAGAGATGTATATATTTTAGTATAAGAAAATGTCTAAATCAAATTTAAATGTGGATGTGGAAGAAAGTTAATAAATTAACGAATGTGGTGGAAATATAAAAAGATATCATGTGGGGTTTGTTAAACAACAAGGACTTGTCCAAAAAAAGTTGTGGCTGTGAGAGGCTCTCGAATCTAAAAGCTAATGGTAAGTGCCTTTGATCCGAAACAACTCTCTTTATAATTATTATTTTTGTTACACCTTGTCAAATGATAAGTTCCTATCATTTTAAAATGTAATAATATGAAAACCCGACATAGTTGCGATATATATGCATACTCACACAAAATTAATATAAATTGTAGAACCGTTGAATATTTTGTATAAACGAGTTTTGAGGTCGTAATCTAGATCTACCATGAAATTTGTTTACATACCGTTTACGTTTTTATGCTGCGACGACTAATAACCTAAAAATAGCTAAATAATTCTAAGCAAGCCATGCATCATAATAAGATTTTTAACGTTCTTTTTATAAACTAAGATAAGTATATATTTCCCCTTACAAAAATGAAAAGGAGAAAATATATGAATACATATATTATATATACAAGAAAGACATGGGCTCGTATGCAAATTTTACGTGTGTCTTTTACTTTGCTTTTCCTTGCACTATATTAGCTAACTATCCATATGTGCCTAATGTCCCTAGTGCATATGTTAGATTTTATACATGTCCACTTTTTGTCAGAAAAATAAAACTTAAATACATGTGCACTATAGATTTATTAGGTAATCCATAGATATCAGTGCTTACGACTTTAATATAAATTTAAGTTTGATTAATTATTAATTAAGATGGCGGACTTGCTTGGGTGGGTGGTAATAATGATATAGTGAAATAAAAGATAAAAAATGGAAAGAGATAATGTTAATTAATTTTCACTAGATGGAATATGCTAAATGCATGGTCACAATGAAACTAGCAAACCAAATCTATTTCTTACTTGGGAAACTATTAAATAAGATCATGTAAACAGTAAACCTATACGGCTATACCCGAACCAAGTTACAACGAAATGACACTTTGATTTCTTTTAGTTTTAACCTTTAAGTAATCACCGATTAAGCCTATTACTCTGACCGTTTTGCTTTCATTGATTTTAATCTTTCTAAAAAAGATTAATGTTGAATTTGTTAAGAACTCCGAACAAAACTGAGTTTTTGTTTTTGGTTTCATTTACTTTCAGTACCGAACAAAAATTAAACTTTTCGTATATGACTTGTGTGTGGATAAATATTTGATCACCAAATCCTCCACATGCTATGTATTACTTTTCATTTGAATTTTTTTTTGTCAGTTGAGACACATATAACACACAAATAGATACAAACAGGCTGTGAACAAAATACGACACAACAAGGAGATGCAAGTGGTAAAGATGGAGTTGTTTGATTAAGAGACAAACAAAGATAAGACCCAAACTCATTGTCACATCATATTTTCATATTCACATGGCACCTCGTGGATCTCGACACCGACATTATATTATTCACTCTTTTTTCGCATAATTACAAATCATATATGTGTGTGTCACATTCAAAGTTATAAGATAGTATGTAAATATTTGACTTAAGAAAATGACCTGTTTCTTCTTTTTTCCTTTACCTCGGAAGAGAGAAACCAAAAACTAGCAAAATGGCTTCCCTTCTGAGTTTCCTCCTGTTTCCACATATCACATCCCTATACAAACATCTTTTAATTTGTTCTCATAAACGTATGAGATTAAATGGTTAAAGGTAGCAATGAAGTATTCTTCGTGTAGAGCGGTCACTGAATAAGTCGGCAGTAAAGAATTGATGTATGATCTCAATGGAAGACTTGAGGGGAGGCGTAGTATTCACTCTCGTTGAAAACCGGTCTTAGATCTTCTTTGCACATGAAATCTAAAGGGAAAGAGACGAGATGTCCCTTTATCGACTTTAGTCTGTCCATTGGATCGCTTCTCTTGATGTCTCCATTGTGGTAAGACTCCAGCTTCTCGGGTGCTATTCCCAAATCGATCGTTGTGTGTCCCAGTTTCTCTTTCCAATACGATAGGCTTTGTCTGAAGGCCATTCTGCATATATATTCAAGAGGTTTCACGATACAAGACCACGGATTAATCATAATCCAGAATCTTTTCATTTCGAGAGGAAAA